AATGCATACTGTAGCATATATTCAAGCATCAGAGTAAGTTTATGATTACTCTCTTCCAGGAAAATTCAGTCATTAATGAATCATACAAATTGTGTCCTAGATAAGAAAATATTCAAAACCATGATTCTGATGAATGTATGTTGTTTTAACTGCACAAGCACACATATACATTTCATTATATAATTGCCACTGAGATTTAAACATTTCTCTTTCTGCTTTTCAATATATTACTTTTCAGCTGGTTATTTTCATGAAGAATTGTGAATTCTTTCTCATACAAATACCCAGTAAAGGCATTAAACTAATACTCAGAACTCCTGCATTTGCTTTTCTTTTAAATATTATCAATGGCAGTATTTTGAGCACTGCCAAAAATTTTACATAAGGGCTTTCAGATGAAACATGAGAGGAAAATTAAAATGGGCAGTAAAGTCCCAAACAGGATAACAGAAGTTCCTAAAATTACGTTAATGTCTCAGCGTCCCTCCAGATGCTGTTAATGCTAGTAACTTCAAAACAACTACCCTAAAGGTAGCCAATTTCTGAAAAAGGTTAAAAAAAAGGAAGTATCACATAACCTTTTTTTGTGTGTGTGTTTGACTGCAGTGGCAATTCATAACTTAACACCATCTTCAAAGTTAGTATTGATGTTTTAAACACAACATGAGAAGAAGCAAACAACAACAGACCACTGAAAGATCTCTCTCTTCTTTCTAGATCTTGTTTGAAAGAGATTATGAGTGAGATGGGCCAGAGAGATGAGGTATTTGTTGAACAGGAGTCCAACACAGCTCAACGTTAGAATCTCAAAAATAATGTCTTTGTGTTTTGGTTAACCCCATAAAACATGAAGTCCAAGAAACAGACATAGATCTCTGTAAAAAACCCAGGGTAAAGGCCAGGATCTTTTGGCCAATAATGGATGCATTAGCTAGGCTCTGAATTGCAGTATCAACTACACCTAAAAGAAGTACAGCCAGTGAACTGAATTGTCTACAGTGCTGACAAACTGGTGTGACACCTCTAAGGATCACACCACAGAAATCCCACGTAATGCAGCACCCAGTGATGTACTTGGCCATGACAGCTTTCAGCTGGCTAACAACTGAAACAGGCACTGAAAGAGGCTAAAGATAAACCTATTTTTCTTCTATCTCCAAAGTAATAAATGAGACTCTGGATTCCCTCACAATAACTGTTTTTAAGTTTCACACAGCTGTGTAGACAAGAGATATAAATATGACAAATATAAAGCATCTTAATTTCTGTTAGACAGATTTGACTTTTAAAGCTAACTCCATAAATTATGAACCTACAGCCAGTCAGATTCACTACAGAGGCTTTCAGGCAAGCTCCAGGATATCATCTCTGAAGTGCTCTACTGCCATGAGCTGTCCAAAACCTTCACCAGAAATACAAAACACATATTCTACCCTAAACAGCACAGGGAGTTGGGAATCCCCAGTGCCTCCAACTCTTGTATTTTTCTGGTATAGGAGAAATGATCCCCTATTCAAACACATTCTGGACAACAGATACAAATGTCAACAGGCACATTCCAGTGCCAGTGAGAGAGTGATGCAACTAGGAGCTGGAGAAACCTCCATTTGCTGTATCTCTGTGGAGGTGGATGAAGACAGACATTGTCAAATCCCATATAGATAGATTAAGCAAAAAGTAATGTTCCAGTCCTTCCTTTCTGAAGTTTCTATTCCACTGGGGCTGTAATTACATACCATAGCTCTTACCAGAGTTTTCCATGTGAAATGTTTTCCCATGTTTTACCAGGTAGTAGAGTTCATTTAAAAGCCAGAGCCAGTGGCTCTGCCAACTGAATATAATCTCACAGAATTTTACAGTACACTTTGGTCTGCTTGAAAGCAGGACTTGCAAGGAACTTACATAAATACAACAGTGATTCTGCTGACATAGCAGAATGAGAATAGAGTGTGTCAGTGGAGTGACTCAACACAAATGAACAATTTGCAAACTGAAAGGCAATACACACCCCTGCAAACTCCCAAAGGTCTCAGTGTTGAGGAGTCAAAAATTGGTGCTGAACAAAGTGCTTGCTCCACAGATCAGCAGTGACTGTCACACACAAGATCTAGACAAGCTTTGCTGTGGCAGCCACACAGGGACACAAAAGTGTTCCAGAAGAAGATGCAAAGTCAGGCCTTGCACAGAGGGTTGAACCTCTGAATGTTCATGCTTCACTCTGAGCAGCTGTGACTTGAGGGTCATTTTTTGAGATACTTCCAGAAGGTTTATTCCAAAAGATTGTGTGTCTAACAACTGTGTGCATATTTCTGAGCTGCTCTCTAAAGATGGAGGGAAAGGAGGAAATTTTTAAACGGAAAATTCAAGAGGCTATTTTTAGTTTTTTGATAAATAATTTAATATTTTATGTAAAATTACCTTTTATGTTCTGTCACATACCTTAATTGACAGACTTTTTTTTTCCTTTTGAAACCTATGTCAGTTTGGAGTTTCAGGTCAGACTGTATCCAAAGCACACAGCTTTAGGCAGCTGAATCCAGGAAAAAATTTCTGAGTACACGTCTTTGCTGGTTCTTACAGCTTCCAATGCTTTATAATTAGAAACATTTCAAACAATAGGACTCTACAATTACAGCAAGTAATTCTGCTGCTGTTTTTCTTTCTTTACATCTAAGGTAGAGATAATGATTCCTTCTCCAATTCTCAAAGATTATTTAAAGTTATTTAACTTGCTCTGAAAAACACAGATTGCTTTTGAAGACGTAATTAGTTAATTAAGTGTAATCCACAGCCACATCTCTCTGTGAGCTTTTTGAAGGCGTTTCTCACAGCCCTTCGTCCTTGAAAATTCCTGACAGTTTTAACTATGAGAATGGTAAAGGGAAAGCCTTTATCAAATACTACATGGGTGCATGGCTGTCTATACAAATGCTTTTTGACAGTAAGGTTAGATACAACAAAAATCTTAATATTTTTATGCTGGAGGGATTTAAGCATTTTCCTGCAACTGAAATTCATACAGTTTGTGACGCTTTCCAGAAGACAGCCTCGTAAGCAGTGGTAATTTTTTAAAAACCTACAATCTTGATATTTCAATCATCACCTGTATAAAGTGTTTCTGGGAACACTTTATACACTGGGAGCACTTTATGTGTGGTACAAAACACATGAAGAATTAGTTGTACAATTTACACTACTAATTCTGAATGCTACATATTTATTTCCATTTTCAATTTAGTTTAAAGAAAACCAAATCTGTAATCTGGAAACCTCCAAGATTATCCCTTAGTAATTTATACAATTTTTAAACTCTTCTAATCTGTTAGATTGAGTAATGGCTGCCAGTAGTAATGACTCTTAAGTCAATATTTTAGTGGAAGCAAGATGCAACACATCTCATAAAAAGCCATCTGTTTTAGTGAAGTTATTTAGAGAAAATATGCCACTTTCAAATTATGTGGATGTACTCCACCTCTCCTGAATGATTCATAAAAATACTTTGGAGGCCTGAAATATTCTAGATCTATCAGAGTATTTTCTCCCATTTAAGATGTGACACCTCTCACTTAAACTTTGCCAGATTCCTCCAATCAACAGAAAATCAGTTTCTGGATAATCTCTGGATTGCTCTTCCACACTTAACCTTAATTCAATTATTTACTGACTTCCCATTCAGGAAGAGGATAGGAAACGGTGGAAACACTGGACATCATCAATTCTAAAGAAGTCCTTAATGAAGGACTGTTCAAACTTTTTTTTGTATCCAGTGATCACAGATAAACACAAAAGGAGCCATACCTGTATAACCCATTCCTCACACCATACAAATGGAAGGTATGGTCACATCCCTTCAAAACACAGGGACACCTCTAATTAAAAACTACATCTTGCATCATGCTGACACTAAAGTACAAATGTTTCTGGTATTAGAAACACAAGGTTCTAGTCCTGGAAAGATTTCAATCCTTTTCACCCAATGATCTCTTAATTTGGTAATAATATTTGTTTGATGTTCATGCTCTGGGGTAAACACTCACTCCACAGTGGGCTGGATTCGTTTTAGGTTAAGATAAATGGGTACATCCATCCACAGGCATACCAGATATCCAGGCTCTCATTTTGAGTGAGGGAACTTTAGAATTTACCCTAAAATAGGGACCTAGTACCCAGTAAATATTCTCTAGGCTCCAAGGATTACAGAGATAACAACTTCATTTGCTCTAATGGTAACGCAGTTACCTACATGGGGACACTAAACTGGTACATTTAAGTGTCAGAAAATACCACCATTGTGTCTGTTCCAAGTTACTCTCAAAGCCAGAATGAAAACCAAAAATCCTAAGACAGGCCATGAAATTCATTACCTGTAGGGCATCTTGTAAAGACAGACCAGGGATATTTCAGTTGAATGAGGAAACTTACAAGATGATACATGGAACAAGACACACTGATGAATACATACAAAATGCAATTCAGTCCTATTTTTTTTTTGTGACGGGGATATAATTTTTGAACTCTTCACTCATTTGCTTACATATTTTTAAAACACCAATTTGCAAGTAGCTAGAGAACGATGGATATCTGAAGCAAACAAACTATTTTATTTAGATGCTTAAGAAAGAATAAAAATTCATTACATATGAATGAGTATCTAGAGTATATCTCCATATAGCAAGTAAAACAATGTATTTTTCCCTCATATTTTCTAGAAAGTTGCTTTAAACTGAAATTTTATCAGTTGCTTTAAACTGCATTTTTATCAGTTATTTAAAAGTCCTGTACCTGGGAATAGGCTAGAACTTCTTACATGCAGGAGCAAGAACTTTTTCAAGTGCTTCAGGGCATTTATTATCCATATTGCAGAAAAGAACAATCACAAAAATCTCTGATAGTAATCTTCAAAATGTAAGAAAAACTGGTATTTTAAAAGTGCATAAAACCAGGAGAATATTGCAGTATATGGAATGGGATAAGAAAAAAGGAAAACGTTTTAAACTTACCCTATTGACACTCCTATTTCTTAAAATAATTTGAATTAGATTTTTCTCAAATTCTTCCATCTTCTTGAAACACTTCTTCAAAACATGATTAGATAATTTAGTATCAGTTATTAAACTGACCAAAACAGATACTCCTTCAGTAAGGAAGCTTGGAGCTGGGAATTTAGGACTGTTGTAAAAAACAGTCAGTCCATCAAGCAAGTGAGACACTGAATTGCATATGGTGAAAGAATCATTCTCAAGCTCTGAGAAGTCTGCTTGAAGAATTCCTCCTTCTGACAGTTTTCTTATTTCAAGCAGACATTGCAAAAAATGCACTGGAGCAGTCAGAGATTGCTCCTTGCTGGTATGGCAAAGATTCAGTGGGGGAACTCTTTCCAACCAATGTTTAGAAGCATTGACATTATGCTCAGACTGGTGAAAATCTGAAGCTATGCCTAAAGAATCAAATGCAGAGTCATTACAGACATCACATCCAGAATCTTCTAGCTGGCTTGAGTAACTTGTAGGGTTTACAGATTCCTGACCCAGAAGAGTTTCAGCAGAGGTATCCTGTTTTCCTGAAACGCAAACATGAAAATTATATTTGTGCAATGCTTAAACACATGCTTATTGAAAATGCCATATATTCTTTCTCCTTTCTGCTTCCATGCAAAAATCATGTAATACATGTGTATGTTGGCTCCCAAGGACTTCCCATGACTAGAATTTAGCTGTGGAAGAAGATATATTTAAATTAAAGTAAAACATTTCATAAGCTAATGTCTTGTGAACAAGATGTTTTATGCTCATAGTAACATGAACAGTAATTTTGAGTTTAAACAGTCAGAAGTTTTAAGTTTTCCTATATATAATTTAAGTAGACATAAAGCAAACAATTTAAGTGAATACCTATACTCCCACTAATTTCCAGGGAAGAAAATGCATACAAATTTCTGGTTCTCCAAACATTTTCACTGCTTTTAATCTCAAAAACTCAGTCTGCTTTTAAAAGGCAGTGAAAGTCTGTTACTATAACTGCATCAAATAAAATATTCTTCTTTATGTGTACTCTCTCTCCCCAGTCAGGTAAGAAATTCTAACAACAGTCGAAGTTGAACAGAACATTAGGTTTGATTTTTTTATTATTTAACAAAGAGGAACATTCAGAATCAAAAGCTTCTTCAGTCATCATCTATCTCACACCATCTCCTTCAAAGGCACACAAACTACATTACAAGAGGTATACAGTACATTCACACCAATAAATTACTTTCATGTGCTACTGTAGAATCTCTTTCATCCCATTTCACACATTAAATACATTTAAGGCAATGCCTCTTGACATAAACTCAGCTCTAGGTGACAAAAGACACCTGTTCTAAATGCTACCTATGCCAAAAGATCACAGTCAAAACAAACCAGAAAAGTGAAGCGGAAGACCAACACACATAAACATCTCAGAGCCATGAGGCAAGGCTAGAACCCCATCTAACCAACTCCTGGCTCAGCCTGGTTTACTGGGGCAGAGTCACAAACTGCTTCCCCTCTCGCTCTTAGAAAACCTGCCTATACTGTTCATTTTTCAGGGATCCAATGCAGCACCATACTCCTCTGCCTTTGTATTCTTAAATAAGTTCAAACAAATTATAGATGGCTTGGCCTCACAGAAAACAAATGCTATATTTCATAGAAAGTTAAAAAAAGCATTTTTAACACAGAAAACATACCTAAGCAGCAACCTACAGTATTCTGTATGTTAATAAAACACTACTCAAACATTTTAATAAGGCCTTCATTCAATTCACCATTTCAAATTAAATTCTGACCATTAATTCAGTCTCTGAAAACAGACCAGTACCAATGAAAGTACTATTACCAAGATCAAAACTGGAAACGTGGTTATTTACATGAAGCAGCTCATATGGAGAGATTGAAATGTAAAGGAGTTAATGACTCAAAGAATTAGCCATTTGCAGAAGGTGAATCCTCAGCTCTAGAGGACTCCCATCTTTAACATTCTTTAACATTCAGACATATTTAAAATTTCACACTATTGGTACCAACTGACTCAAAATGAAATGGCTAACTGTAGGGAAATCAACTGCCATTTCCAGGAGGTAGGAAAAGCTGGACATTTAAGGCTAGCCTAGCATTTTATAGATTAGCACTGTTTCCAAATGCCCTGCATACTGACACTTAGAAAGCAAACAAGGAAGCAAACCAGACTTCCCATGGTCTGACTAACAAGAATAGGCATCCATATTTCATGTGTTCTCTCTCTAGGGTTTTGAGCAAAACACATTTCAGAAGAAAAAAATTGAAAGCTGGTTTTGGTGGCATTTTAGGAAAATAAGCCCTTCCAGGGAATCAATCTACTGTGAGTTTCACTATATGGTCATTTTGTTCCTGTTCTTAATCCCATGAGACAACATGAGAATTGCTCATGAGGACTTAATGTCAGAAGTCAGAAGAAGCAAAGCAAGAACTATGTGCAAAAACCCTGTATGTACCTCTGCTCACTCTCTTGTAGAAGTAAAAAAAAAAAAAAATAGAAGAGGAGAAAGAAAGAAGAAAAGAGAAGAAAAAGGGAAGAAGAGTAAAGCAGTATCATATCCACAGAAACCAAACTTAAGATGGTCCCAAATAAAACAGGTAGGATATCCAATGAAACACTCCTTCTACTAGGAGACAATGTTGCATTTATGGTTAGGTTCCTATCCAATATCAAACTCGTGTTCCATGATGAGCTTCCAGACAGCCCTGTTACAGTAAGTCTCCAATATCAGTGTATTTCCAGCTAAAAGAGTAATACAAAATGCTTAAAATTGTTAAGCCATTTACATGTTCTAGTAATTTGGGGAGGAGGTCACAGTTATGTTGTAAAAAAAAAAATAGTAATGCACTAGGAAATACTCATTATTTCCCTCTAAATATGTAGAAATAGCTTATAATTTATTTCTTGAAAGAAGCTAAACTCATCAGTTTGTACTTACTTACTATTCAAATGAGAAAGCAGTCTTGATGTTCACGCCATGTGGTTATCAAGTACAAAAAGAAAACAAAAGAAAAGTAAAAGCAATGGCATTAAGCCTGCCTCTGATTAACAAAAACCTTTAAATACTTATTTCGAGAATATTGACTACAAGTGTATTGAAACAAGAAATACAAAAATTTAGTGTGTGTGATAAAGTGACCACAGATTTTACACCACCACAAGTAATGAAATACCTGGTAATGAACAATTTTACAGTCTTCTTAAATCTGTCACATCAAATTTAGGAAATATTTAAATTCTTCATTCTTATTTAGGATTTCAGCTCCTTACTAAAATTCGGATCCTGAGCTGAAAACCAAAGCAACATCCTGAGCCCCAAACAAAGCAAGATGTGGTCCCACAAAGAGCCTTGGGGTGCAAAAGGCTGAAAAACTCACATATCCCTCCACACATATGCAGTACTGCAGAAAGAGTATGGCCTGAAAATCAGAAGCCACTCAAGGGATGATGGAGTGACGTACATATTGCAGTGTGTCAGCAGGGTGTGCAGGCACTAGAACTCAGATGTACATACTGCTGTGGCCAGTAAAAAAAACAACAGAGGCTTTCATCAGGGCAGTGAGATGCCAACTAGCCCCATGATTAGAGAATAGGGAGTGTTCAGCTAGTCCCTGAGGCAGCTTGTATATAATTAGTGTAGTAGGATCTGGGGTGGTGGAAGATGCTTTCCTAAGATACTCTGCTGGTGGCTGCCTCAGACCGGAGAACATTTGAATGAGAAAGGCCAAATGCTACATGCAAAATGCTAAATTACAAACTGCAAGAAGGGTCCTTAGCTGATGAAATTGATGTGAAATGGTAAAATGATCTTCAAGTCTTTCGAAAAACTTAATCTACCTGAAGTTCCACTACCAACAGGGACTGCAGAACAGAAAACAGGCTTGAGGTGGCAGAGGTGAGAAACAAAGTGAAGACAGGATCTGAATTCTGCAAAGAAAAAATTACTTCTGTTTCAAGCATTAGACATTGTTTATGTTCTCTCATTTCATGAGTAGACACAGTTATCACTTGAAAATCAAAATCACTGACATCAGATATGTAAAGTTCTCTTAAAACTCAGTACCAATTGACACTCTCAGTTCCACTTCTAAAAGAAAAAACAAGAGACAACTAAAAATGAGACATTCATAGAAACCTCTCTGATGATATGGCATTCTGCTTTCCAAGTAGGTGTTCAGTCAATAACCTCTAAAAGGAAATGAAAACGTAAGTGAAATTATGTCCACATCTACATTTTTCAGGGCTCTGTTACTCTTCATTTAATTTTCATTGTTTGGTTTGTTTGAAGTGCACTTTCTATGAACAATGAATCAACTTTATTCTCTTATTTAAAAACCCATACATTTTCTTTGCCTTTCTTTCATGTGTAACTCTGTCTCTATTCTGCTGGTTTCATTACTAACCAAGCTGACTGAAAAGCTGAGGAAAAAACAACTCTTCCCCCTTCATGAACTCTTATGTGCTTAGCACCCCATTGTTGTCCTGACCTAGAACAAAGCCAAACTTCTATTTTCATTATTCCATAATAATAATGCCAAAATAGTATTATAGAATATTATTAGAATTCTCCAAATAAGAAGTCTTAGAAGCCTTGTATTCCACACTTTGCTTCTGCATCTCCATGGGGGATTTTTTGTAACTGGCTTGGAAAAGAAAAGTCCTTTGTTTAAATGCAAGGTGCTTTTTTATGCTTTTTAATGCTAAAGGTGCATTCTGACATATTTTATCCCATTTAGGGATAATTTCACAGAAATGAATATAGAACTGAGTATGTAAAATTCTCAAGTTGTTCAATGCTAGGATTTAAATGTTTCTCTAAAGGCTTAGAAGCATATACTTCAATTTGTTAGGGATTTTGCTTAAATAAAGCACCTAAATGTTTAGAATTCAGTAAGAACTGAGAAGGATTTTGAGGATATAAACATTCATTTTTAAGGGATCTCTGTAGATGACAGCACAAATCTTCTGCAGTTTGAGTCAAATAAAGAAAACTTGCAGTAAAGATATGAAGGGATAAATAATTAGGTGACAAACATATAGATTTGGGTCAGTTAATGCTCATCAAGCAGCTTTGACAACAAAAGACCTGACAAACTTTACAATATTGACCATCTCAATGACGTGACTGAAATTTGAGTTCTAAGCCAGATAGGAGATATTTCAAAATACTAAATGAATTAATATTATCTCTAAAGACTACCTGACTTAACTGTACAGTAACGAAACTGTACAGTAACTTAATAGTACGAAACTGTATGCATTATGCCTTATTAAAAATGCTCTGCATTATGAAACAAACTAAGCTTTGCTAAGCTCAGTTTGGAAATAGTAGCCAATGAAGATTGCAATGATATGGATGCAACTTAGTGAGATGAAGGCTAAAATGAGGTGCACTCCTTAAGAAGTCGGCTAAAGTGCGCCTTCCTAAAAATATTGCTTTTCTTGAATACAACATGGTATAAATGCTTAGCTTTTCTGTCTTTATATATGCAGTAGGATGCAAACAAAGATCTGCTTGAGCAA